CCACCTTTAAGCGAAATATTAATCCAAGTTCCAAACGAGCCCTGGGAAGATATCTAAACTCGATTGATTGGCCTCAAATTATTCCATCTACTAATGATTGTGATCAGTTATCGAACATGTTTCAAAACATAGTCCTTACTGGGGTTAATATATTAATGCCGATGACACGATCAAAGAAATGTCCTGTCGATGCCCCCTGGATAACGAACCATTTCAAATCGCTGATCATTGAAAGGCAGAAAGCTTTTTCTACCTATGGCCCTGACTCGAGCAGTTTTAAATCTCTTCGAAACCAAGTAAATCGCGAAAGGAAAATCTGTAAATCTATTATAAACTCCGTGTACATCAAATGAAACAAACAGATTCCAAGGAATGGTGGAAAGAAGTAAAGCGTTTAAGTGGAATGTCATCTACTAGATCTAGTGATATTAGAAATATAATAGATATTGAAAACCTCGAACAATTATCTGAGCAAGAATTAGCTAACAAGATCAATGAAGCTTTCTTGGATCCCTTATCTGTATATAAACTGCCCAGCCCCCTTCTTCCTTTCGAGCTAGAAGTTAACAACCCTGAGTTTTTAGTAGTCACCGAAGAAACAGTGTATTCATATTTATCAAAGCTGAACCCTTCAAAAACTTGTGGTCCTGATGAAATATCAAATTGGCTTCTTCGTGATTATGCAGCTACATTAGCGTTCCCAATTAGTACCATCTTAAATGCTTCCTTCAAGCAACAACGACTTCCATCGATGTGGAAACTAGCCAATGTTTTACCTATACCTAAATCTAAGACAGTTCAAATCTTAGAAAAAGATCTCAGACCTATCACACTGACCCCGAGCATATCCAAAGTAGCTGAAGAATGCGTGGTAAATAGATATATCAAACCTACGGTTCTGAAATCCATAGACTCAAATCAATTCGGTTCTATTCCTAATTCTTCGACCACATTTGCTTTAATAGACATGTTACATCACTGGACCTCAATGCTGGACGGAACAGGAGCAACTATCCGAGTGTTTCTATTTGACTATAAAAAGGCATTCGATTTCATCGATCATAGTATCCTAAGGATCAAGTTAGGTGCTTTAGATTTACCAACTAGTATCATCAACTGGATTATCGACTTTTTATCGGATAGATTTCAAAGGGTTAAGGTGTCAAATAGTTGCCTTTCTGAATGGGGCCAAGTACCGGCTGGTGTTCCTCAAGGAACCAAATTAGGCCCTTGGCTCTTCTTAATAATGATTAATGATTTGAAGAAACATAGTGAGAACTTATGTAAATACGTTGACGATCCCACGGCGTCGGAAGTTGTATTGCAAGGTGAGCAGAGTGAAGCTCAATTGATTGCAAATGAAATTTTAGATTGGTCCAATATCAATAGAATGCAATTAAATGCTGATAAATGTAAGGAGATACGAATTTCTTTTGCACGGAATCAACCCGAGCTTAACCCAATTTCAATTGAGAATCAAATCATAGAAGTTGTATCCGATTTTAAAGTGCTAGGTCTTACACCCGTTTTCAAAATTACGCGACCAAAGACGAAAATGCTAGAGTTGACATGTCAGTTTTATGTCATTCGATCACGAAGTTCAAACTTTGAGTTTTGCGGTTCCTTCTCGATGTATATGCTTTGTATGCTTTATATAAACAGACTTACAATGATTTTCAAGATATTTTAGTGAGAATTATTGTAAAATTTAAGCACGACAAAATCATAACATCACCGTTATAGTCTAGCGCGCGTGTTTTATACTGACAGCTATATTCCAGGATAAATTGTTATTTTTCAAACTTTAAAAGTCATTCACGGCACATATTTCTGTTGTGATGGTTTGTATTGTGCTTTAGTTTGGATATCTAAGTTATCTGACTCATTTTTGTTCAGTTTTGGTATTAAATACGGTTTAAAATGTCTTTAGACAGTTTGTTTACGCTTGCTATTTTTAGCAGTTCTTGTGACATAAAACTGACATTTGAAGTAGGAGTATTTTTCAGGGAGGTCGCGTAATTTTGAAAACGGGTGTAACATTAGCAACAACCTTACGTGGAATAAACATATCACTGAAATAGTCAAGAAAGCCTCCAAAAGGATATATTTCCTTATTCAACTTAAGAGAGCAAAAATCCCAATACAAGAACTAATCACATTTTACATAACCTGTATAAGATCTGTGTTGGACTATGCTGTCCCGGTTTTCCACTACAGCCTACCCAAGTATTTAAGTCAAGATTTGGAACGAGTCGAGAAACGCGTATTTGGAATTATTTATCCCCATTTGAAATATGAGGAAGCTTTAAATCTCAGTGGAATTGAACATCTTTCCACCCACCATCAAAACAGCTGCAAGAAATTGTTTAATACAATTACCAAAGATTCTAATCACAGTCTACATCATCTCTTGCCACCAAGGCATAACTCCATCCACGACCTGAGATCTATTAGATCATTTGACGTTCCAGTTTGTAAAACCAATCGGTTTAGTAATAGTTTTATTATGGCATCGAGTAGCAAAACTGAATAGGTTTTACTCTTCATTTATCTATTTTATATTCTTAATAACTTTTGCATGCTAATTATAAACAGACACTTTTGACATTTTAGTTAATTAATTATAATACTTTGATATATTTCATAACTCTAATTTTAATAATTTTAATTGTAAGTATAATACGCAATTCAGCTCATAGCTGCAATGTATTTACCATTTCTAAATAAATAAAGTATAAAAGTATAAAGTAATTCTCCAGTCTCTTGCCAGTCAAATGTGCGACAATGTTGATGGATTTCGTGATAAACTGAGTGAAGTTCTTCGTCGTGAACATTCTCGAGACGCACAAACAGACGCATTTCGCGTTCTTCTAAATGTTCCATTACATGCCATTGAAACGCGAAAGCCAAGGTGGTGTATGATGCCTTGGAGGAAAGCACAACATAAGGCAATGCTCATCATTGTGGATGCTTTGGACGAAAGCCAGACGGACACCAAAAGCGAGTTTTTGGAGTTGATATCAGAGAAATTTCCGCAATTACCAGAATGGATTAAGATATTCATTACGAGTAGACCAGAGCTACAAGTACGGAACAAACTTCAACATTTAAATCCCATGGAAATTCGTTCTGACGGCCCCCATCACAATCTCGACTTAAAGCATTTCATTCCCCAATGTTTGCCGGACCTGAGTGAAGGTAATGTAAACTTTTTTATTTCGAAGTGTGAGGGTTCGTTTCTGTATGCTTATTACTTAGTCAATGAAATAAAAGAAATGGACTTGGGAATTGAACCCAACCTAAGTGATGTTGCGCCCAAAGGTATTTCTTGGTTTTACGAAAAACAGTTCAAAAGTTTGAGAACAGGCCTCCAACGTTTTAACTCAGATACCTGGTCCTCGATCTTAAAAAGTTTTGTAAACGTTATTGCTGCTTCAAGGGCGCCCCTTCCAATGAAGATTTTGGTTGAATGCATGGGTATGTCCAGTGAGAAGTTTGAAGTACGTGAGAAGATCATTCAAATAATGTCAGAGGTTCTACCTGTTTACGAAGGTTGCTTGACTGTTTACCATAAGTCATTATGGGATTGGCTAATATTAGATGAGTACGATGAGCATGCTTTTGTAGCCAACGTTGCAGGCGGCAAGAAACTTCTCACGAGTGCTTGTAAGAGTATATATAGCGATATAACTTCTTTAGGATCAGTTTCTGATTTTCAAATGTCGTCTGAGACAAGGTATGCTTTGAATGGTGAGAACCTTTTGCTGGATGTTGGTGACACGGAGGATTTTCACTGGTTGGTGAATGTTAGAGTGAATTATTTAAAATATAAAGTTCCTGGCCTGAATATTGACGTTGCCCATGTTCTTAGAATCTGTAAGTCTAATCTTTCTGATCCTAGTTTTTGGGCGATTATTCAACTCCATGCTATCTTGAGAAATTTTCCACACTTCTACTCTCCTGAACGCATGAAGAAATGTTACATTTATTTGCAATCTTTTGCGAACCGTGATTATGATGTTTTGCAAATGAACAATAATGATAAAAACGAAGCTAGAAATATCTTAGATAAAAGAAAGGAGGCTTGGCTGGAAAAAGTGAGACATGAATGCAATTCTAAATTAAAAGTTATTTCACATGCCGTGTTTAATATTGACAAGTTATCTTCCGGTCACCTGAAGTTCACAGCATTATCACGAGAAAATAAGCTACTTGCATGCGCTGGGCGTAGGAATGAAGTATTTACTTTACCAAGGCTTACAATATTTTTCCAAATAGAATTAAGCAACAGACGTTCGCCCGAATTTCTTATATTTTCTCCAGACTCTTCGTATCTTTTATTCGATTCAGTCAGGACATGCATCTCAATTAGAGACCAAAAAGAAGTTCTGTTTATTCCGCATGGCCCTAGACGTTTTGATTGCTGCTCATTTTCTTCATGTGGCATGAAACTAGTTACGTTGGAAAAAGACTTTATTAAATTGTGGGATGTGAGAACTAAAGTTCTTTTAGTAGAAGTTGACAACGTGATTAAAGCAAAATATTGTTGCTTTAGTAAATGTAACTCATACATTCTTACTGCTGGTTGGATGCCATTTTCTCCCGATAAGTCTACTTTATTTGATTCTAAAACGTTGGCTAGCTTAAAAGCTGGCGAAATTTGTGGCGACACTTGTTTGACGTATCAAGAAAATTATCAAATGATTTCACCTTCTCGTGAACAAAACTTCGGAACAAACATTAGGATTGACCATGCCCACTTTCCAACTACTGAGCCATTTCTAGTTGCAAATAGATACTGTTCAAAGTCTTTCAAGTGGAAAAATAGGAAGTGTGTTATATTCTCAAAATCTTCTCGAAGGGTTTCGCCTTTAGTAGTGTACGACTTTATAAACAAAGAAATCGTAGACGTGTTTCATATTAATTGTTTTCCAACTAATTCCCGAATTACTCACATATCACATTTTGATGAGAAAAATTTTCTGATTTGCTTAAATTATGGACACATATTTCTTCTGTCGTTTGAAACTTCCTTTTGTCAACAATGCAGATGTTGAATGTCGTGCATTATCTCCAGACAATTCGTATATAGCGTGTTGTTACGAAAATAGTGTTTTTACAGTCAGAAGTGTTAATAATGGAGAAACATTGCAAACTGTTGTACTGAAACAACTACCAGTAGCTTGCTGGTGGTCAGAGTTGTATCTTTGGGTGGTTTGTAATGGTGTAGTCGTAAAATATCCTTATGATTCAACACAAAGAAAAGTCTTGGGTAACGAGCTTGAGGAATACACTATAAATTTTGATGTGGTCCTTATATTTGCAAACGATTTTCTGGTCATTCGCTATGATGAGAAAATCTCCATTTTAAAATATTGTAAAGAAAAGCTTTGTCCTCAACATATATCTGATTTGCATTCTTTTCTCGATTCTGCTACAATAAGTTCTGATGGGTGTGCTGTTCTGTTATATGGCAAGTATAATTCAAATTATCAATTGTGGTAGATAGCATGCGAGAATAGGTGGGAATTGCATTCAGCTGGAAAGTTCGTTAGTTGTCGTTACTTACATTGTTTCTCCTTAACTGGGACAAAGAACTCTCGAATTAGTTCCTTGTGGTTTCGTTTACACGAAGATAGAGGTTACACTACTGATTCTCATTTATATTCCATTAACTTCTCAGACAGTACTCACCGTACTACGCGCAAAGTTCCTTTCAACTCCATGGGTATCGTTAAAGTTCTTTATGGAGACTCCAAATATCTGATTATTCATAATCACCTTGGGTGGATACATTTTGTTCAGCTGTCTGATGGTAAAATCACTACTTCCTTATTTTTGGACCACTTACCTTGTAGTTTATCTAGCTCCATTCCACATCTATCTCCATTCTATATCGCCTCCCGCAGCTTACTTCTTTTGGCTGGGAAAACCGATATCAATCCTTATAAAATTCATAATATTGAGAATTATTCACCAGAGTAATAACGAAGCGTTTGTTGAGAATAACATTTGTGCATCTCTTCAGTCTGTAAATGTTGCACGTAAATCAATCACTGTACACAGAAAACAACATATGCACATTTAATCTCTCCAGAATAAGTATCCAAGGCTCTACTGTATTATCCAAGCCCGGAGCCATTGTTAACTCGTTAATAAAAGTTAACATGGAGGTCTGTTACCCAATATGTCTGTACTTTAACAATGTAAATTTCGTGAAAACCCAATATCAAACGCTCGGGCAGTGTTGATGTGTTGAATGATTTTCATTTACTAAATATTCCGGCAATTCCTTCAATATTCTCTAGTTTCTTGTGATAAGCGTACATGTAAACAAGCCATGGATAAAGCAAAACGTTAAGGATATGAATATCCTCTTTATAAAGATGGGGTAGTCTTAAAAGAAGATTTTTGTTCTGTATCTGAGTGATAGTTTGAAAAACATCAAATTTATCAAGTTAAATGATGACAATTTTTAACACAAAATTTGCGCCTCCGTCGGGAGTAGTTTCTCTTGATCTCATCACAAAACAACTAAATCTTTTGAATCCATTTTGTGAAAGTCAACGCTAAAGGTGGCTCATAACAGATGTCGTGCGCGCATGGGGAAGTGCTAAACCAATATTGAAGCTAACTTGAGAACACAATGTATCAAATTAGTCTAATGTTGAAATAAGTGAACTTCAAGGCTGGTTTACACTTTCGATGTTTCTGTGATCACAATATGGCGCCATCTTGCGTAATAGATCTCTTCAGCTTGGTTTGCAAATTGCAAGCATTTCAATGTTATTTACATTTTTAAATGACGTATTATTTTAGTTTTATTGTCATTGTAATGCGATTGCCTGGTTCGTACACGAATATCATTAAATTGAAAAGAAACCAACTCGCAAAAGTGTTAACAAGAACTGAATTAGGAGAAACTGAGGAGATCTATTAAAAAAATCCATTTGAATAATTCCGTACACAGAAACTAGCTACTTGCATGATAATTTTCATTTCATACACTTTAAAGAAACAATACTGTCTATCTGTTCATATTAGACTTCATCCAAGTCCCTATTTCTTTGATCCACTATAGTGCGTATGACATGACGTGGCACGCCAGGGCGGGCTTGAGATAGAAACGACTTGTACACATTGGATATGACATAATTAAAATTCCATAATCATTGTTTAATTTCTCGTTTTAAGTGTAGTACATCTTTAAGTTTCATGATCTATTTTGTTTTATTTGCTTTTGTTTAGTTTTTGTTTATAAGTATTTTGTTCATATTCAATGTCTTCTCAGGAATTAATTCCTGTTGAGTTTTGAATGGAAAATTTATTAGCAATTGTATTGTACTGGCTTACTTCCGGGCCCAATATGTACAAGTCTCTATTTCACGCCGACATCGGCGCGCCACGTCATGTTATTCCCACTATAATTACAGAGAGAAATAGAGATTTGGAGAAGGTCTATATTCATATCAGCTTGCTTACCAAGACAACCAGCTTAGCTCAGACGAAACATTTCTATATTGGCACGCCAGTGATAAAATCATGTAAACGAAATTCGGCAGATTAAACCGTTTAAATTAATAATTTTTTTATTGTTTTTTGTATCTTTGAGAAAGTATCAAATGTTTTATAAAAAAAGACTTTCGCTAAATAAATCCAAAAATACATATGCATACTAGAAATATATGAGAATAATTTGAAATGCTTTTTAATTATAGTAACTTCTTTTGACTTTTATCTCGGTAGCCAAAATCTGAGCGTCGATATGATTCGTCCCACCAGCCGAGATGTTTCTGTAATCAGGCTCATATGAACAGGCCGTTTTCATGGTAAACTTTACATGTTGTCTGAATTTTGTGTAAACTCATCATAAACATAAGTTTTCAGAATCAAATATGCCTTAAGAATCAAATATGGTTGAATTAAAAACGAATCCAAACATCAATAAAATATTCAAACTGTTTGCCAAAAGGGCCGTCGCATAGTAAATTGTCGCATGGCGACAGAAAAATATGACGTAAAAGGCTATATAGACTGTAAGAAAAACATGATAGTACACATAGGACATCATTAGCTATACATGAAATGAGTCAAAAGCCATACTGTGTATTAAGTTCTCTGTATGTTTGCATGGTGATAAAATATAATATTTTAGTTTGTGGAAACACCACGTAAATTTATTACTGCAAAGCTTTCGATCCGTAAGCCCGGATCTTCATCAGTGCTAATAATATGAGCATATTATTAGCACTGATGAAGATCCGGGCTTACGGATCGAAAGCTTTGCAGTAATAAATTTACGTGGTGTTTCCACAAACAAAACTATCATACTGTGTATTGTATAAGACTGAAGGTGTTAAAGTCACGGAATAGATAAATTTGAAAGAATTCCACTTAGCGGCTTTTCTGTTTGCTATGTCTGTACACTGACAATAAACAATTATATCCAGACTTTGTGATTGCTAATATTCAACGGCAACCAAATATTCCACAGTGAAATGGCGAGTCACACTTATACATATATAATCCGACATGATGGCATCCTAAATTATCTAATAAATAAGTGCGTTCATGAAAGTAGTGTAACAGCGCTTTTGAATATAATTGTAATTAAATATATATGTAGTAGAATAAATTTGTAATCCTAGTTTAGAATATAAATGCAATTTAGTCACTTTATATACACATTATATGGAGATTTACAATACTTCTCTGTGGTAGAACTATTAATCATTACTAGTTATAGAAAAATAGTTAAAAGAAACAAAGAAAGAACAACAGTAATGGTGAAAATACGTCAATTGTAATTATATTTACATATATTCCATATACAGGTATTCCAATTGAAATTAAATGTATTCCATCAAAAACATTGCAATACTATTCGTCTGCTGGGACACGTGAAAATTTGAATATTAAAGAGGCTATGACGTTTGCCCTAATCAAAACTTTTTATGTCTCCTAGGAATCTCTTCCGCATTATCCTCTCCTCCCCCCTTCCCGCACAGTATGTAGGTCGTAGGTATAGCTAGCTATGTTAGCTCAACAGTATTCGGTTGTTATTACCCCTATAGTTATGATTTACAAACTATTTACATCTACAAAATCCTTCAACATTAGTTCAATCGAGTGAGATGGCCAATCCTGATATTTACTAATGAATAGAACAGCCTCCTGTTGTTGGACATATTTACAGACATATATTCACCTCTTACTTGCAAAATATTTTCTCTCTTTGTGGCACGGAGGCATAATTTCAGATCTGGAATTCAGAAGATAAATTAAAGTTGCAAAATAAACCACGCACTAATTTCTTAAAAAGAAGCTCGAGTTATAGAGGGGCACGATTGTGAAATAGTTTACCGCAAGATATACGCATGATCCACTACTTTCCCAATCAGTAAGAAGTGCTACAAATCACTATTATAATAATTTTATATATAGCGATATGTATGACAACGCAAACTTCCACACGGCAATTTCATGTAAAGCAGTTAATGTTTTTCTTTTTCTAAAATACTGAAGGTTTTACCGTGGCTAAATAAAATTGTATTGTATAGTATTCTATTGTATTGTACTGTTATCAAATGGAATCTTGTTGAAGGTATATTTTATACATTATGCTTCACCAAGGCGAGTTTTTTGTGACCAAACTGAAATTTTTCTTCCCTACAAAGGCGATGTTTACATTTTCCTTCACCCACTGCAATGCGAGTTTATATCTTTTATAAATATAGCTAGTCTTGCTTCTTCACGTACAAAAGCAGTTTTAGTTTTTTATCCAAAGCAGTTTTTATGGCCAAAAATGAAATCGTTTGTTTCCTGTTGCGCGGTACGGGGAGGTGAGCGCATGAGTAGTCTTTTAACAAACCCTATAAAATTAGTTGAGATCGTTTAGTTAGTTTTAACTAAACGAGTTAACTATGTTTTAAGACGATTTTATATTACGCCATTTTCCCGAGTTCAACAACAAGCTATATAGAAACAAAATAACGGTCATTAATGTGGCTCGACGCCATCTTGAAGAGTCCCAAATTGAGACACCTTTCACGGTTTTCGTCCAGTCTTTTATCGCTTGCGTTTGCATTATTGCGTTTGCACTACACGTGCTGTCCAACACAACGGTAATGATTGAAAACCAGGCTGATGCAGGGCATTTTTAACTATATAACTCCATGGGGGGGGGGGGATGCCCCCTCAGCCCCCTTGTTGGCCCCCTTACTCAACCATTTTACCCCCCCCCCCCTGTCAAAGTCCCTTTTCTCTAAAATATAAGCAAAACATGGAATTTAGAAGGGATGTTTGATATTCTAGTAACTGAAATTTGCTTTGTGAATCTTATGTCCTGTCGTTTATCTTTAATGCTAAACATTGTGTTGTAAATACCTTACTCACGCCTGACAAAAATGCATGCCAAAGCGCTAACGTGCTTCAATTTCTTTAATTTCATCATTTTTCTACAAAATTTCCCATGCATAAACATACAACATGTCATTCTTACAAATCGTATGTTTTTTGTTTTTCGAATTGCTACATTTTTGGCGCGAAAATGACGTCACAAACTTGCCGGTAAAAAAATTAACAGTTAGCTATTGTTAATTTTACGCGCTTATTCGGTAGACGACATTGAGAGAGTAATAAAACTGAACTCCTTTTTCTAAATACGACTATTTCTCGGTAAGATATAGCGCTACAACGTCGAAAAATCGGCCATTTTGTTACTAAAAATAGAAGAAAATGGCCGATTTTTAGAAATTTGTTTGATGATATCTTCGCAAGAAATGGTTGTATTTCGAAACAGACTTCAGTTTTAAGACTCTCTCAATGTCGTTTATCGAATAAGTGCATAAAATTAGCTATAGTTAAACGTTAATTTTTTGCGCCAAGTTTATGACGTCATTTTCCCGCGAAAAATGTAGCAATTCGAAAAACAAAAAGACACGATTTGTAACAATGACATGTGCTATGTTTATGGGAAATTTTGTAGAAACAGGATGAAAACTAAAGAAATTAAAGCACGTTAGCGCTTTGGCATGCATTTTTGTCAGACGTGACTAGATTAAATTAAACATTTTCCAGTGGATTGCATATCCCAGACCATATAGATTTGAGTTGTTGGAAGGCTCGGCTAAACAAGTTAGGGGGTGTAGGAAGCAGGGGCAACGGGTCCTCAACCCAGTGTTTTATAAGGAGGGGGAAAATAATGTTTGCCCCCACCAAGAAACCCCAATTGATTTCGAAACTATTGAATATAGAAACTATATATATATATATATATATATATATATATATATATATATATATATATATATATATATATATATATATATATATATATATATATATATATATATATATATATATATATATATATATATATATATATTTGCCGTCGGCAACGGCAAATTATGGACAAAAAAAGACGGAAGCAACAGTTTATTTGACGTCACTATGGGTAGTTTCGACGGCGCTGAAATTTGTGAGCTGGTAGGCCTTTTCATTTTAAATCACTTAGGTAAGAGGTTTGGCAAGGAAAACATCGGACTTTATAGAGATGATGGTTTGGCTATTATAAAAAGCAAATCCGCCCGTTTACTAGACAAAACTAGAAAAGAGCTACACAAAATTTTCGAGCAATTTGACCTTAAAATCACCGCCGAAGTAAGTATGAACGTTGTAAATTTTTTAGATGTTACTTTCGACCTGATCAACGCAAAACACAAACCACACAGGAAACCCAATGACGATCCATTGTACATCCACAGACACTCAAACCATCCACCAAGCATTACAAGACAATTACCTACAGCTATCAACAAACGCATTGCACTTCTCTCATCGGACGAACAAACATTTAAGGAATCCACACCTATTTACCAGAACGCTCTTACACATAGTAACTTTGATCATGAATTTACGTACGCTGAGAATGCACCGCAACGGACACGTAGGAATAGGCAACGCAACATAATTTGGTTCAACCCACCATTTAGTAAGAGTGTTAACACGAACATAGGACGGGAATTCTTAAGTTTAATTGACAAACACTTCCCGCTACAGCACAAACTACACAAGATTTTTAACAGAAACACATTAAAAGTAAGCTACAGTTGCATGAACAACGTTAAGTCTATAATCACCAAACACAACGCACATATAATTAGGAACAGTCAATCACAGGATACGGAAACTGACAACTGTAACTGCGACAACAAAAACACTTGCCCACTACCGAAACAATGCATGACCAACAACATTATTTACAAAGCAACAGTCACAACGAACAACACGAACGACACTAAACACTACATTGGTATGACAGCGACTACATTTAAGGAACGTTACGCTAACCACACTTCATCTTTTCGTCATAAAAAAGACTCAAACAAAACGGAACTTTCAAAACATATTTGGAAATTAAAAGAAAACAATCAGGATTATACCATCAAATGGTCAATTTTAAAACACGCTATTTCGTACACAGGGGAATCAAAACGCTGCAATTTATGTTTGGAAGAAAAATTTTGCATTTTGAAAGACATAAACAAAGACAATTTACTCAATAAAAGAAGCGAAATTTTCGGCAAATGTCGTCACAAAAACCGGTTTGGAGTAAACAAGGTCGTTAACAAAACCTAATGACCTAAACATGCATTGTTTCACCTATGTATTGTTTCGCCTACACGCATTCCGCACATTCATTCGATAGCTTAAAAGCAACCTACAATTTCGAAATTATTCACCACCTGATATATATATATATATATATATATATATATATATATATATATATATATATATATATATATATATATATATATATATATATATATATATATATACATATATATATATATATATAATATATATATTTATAAAATAACCTTTTAATAACGCCAGCGCTGATTGGTTGAAAAGCCGCGAAAAATCCCGTGTTTCTATAACGCTATAGAACACGGGAATTTTCCACGAACCTCAAAACAACACACTAAAACAAACGTTTTCGCCTGGAATATCGATTAAAAGTCTTCGTCAACCTGAAATTTTGTTAAACAAGCAATGGAAAACACTTACCAAACGTTTTTTCGCTTTAAATTTTCTTTAAATCAACTTTTTCAGCGTGTTTTTTTCCATAAATTTGCAGTCGGCAAAACTGAAAATTGATGTCGGTATTGTTGCTAGGCAACATTTTCTTGTTATTGTGTAATGAGAATATACTTTTTAATCGCGTTAAAAATATTGTTTTTGTGTTATTATCACAAGGTTATTTCATAAAGGAAATAGAAAACATTTTTCCTGCGTTTCTATAGAGTTATAGAAACACTTGTGCTATTTTGGGAGAACTCGAAATAACGTGGAAACACTCGCACTGATTATTTCTCGTTCTCCCGAACTAGCACGCGTGTTTCTATTTAACAATAGACAGATTTAGAAAAGACGACGCGACCTCAAAGACGACGTGGATGTCGTCATTTGGCGCCAACTATCGTCAGCTTCTGGTTTGCCACGTCGTCTTGGACGATTTCACGACGCGAAAATGCAATTTTCACGTCCTCTCTAGAACGTCACAGATTTATGCTTTTTTTGAAAAAAATATGAGAGTATGCATAATAAAAATCATCCTATTTTGTTCCCTATGTATTGTTTAATGATTTTAGTTGAACATTTTTCATTGACAACGTTGTTTTTCTTGTATTTCGCTAAATTTTGGACGTGTTGATTTTTGACAAATACTTTCGGTCGCCATAACAAATCAAGAAGACTGCAAGCATTGTTAAAAAATCACTTCAATATCGCTAGTATTCTTCACCAAAACAAACATTTTACAAGAAACTGAACTGAAGTTATATTAACAACTGTTTAAAATCAGGAAAACTTGGGAAGGTAGAAGAATAAAAGCACTTACAAGCAGTAAAAACTAAATCAATTTTAGTTGCTCTGTCACAACAGTGCAAAAAGTAGGACAAGTAAAAATCGCTTTCCAGCGTGAAAAACTATCATAAACAGTATTAAATTTTACCAATATAAACACTGATACCATGTTTATACTGAACAGTTGACAAACTTGATTGAATAGTCTACAAACTAAAGCATTTAGCTCGTAAACAATACCTGCAGTTATTGTGTTTATTCCAAATGATGCAACAAAGTTCACTTTTCAAAATACCGAAATATATCTTTTTCTAAAAAATACTTATTGAATATCCGTACTAATTCATCAGGAAACGCTTGGCAGTATTATAAATCCTTTTCTTGCACATATCTTGACAACTGATTGAGAACAATACTGGAATGAGCAAGAAACAAGAAAACAAAAATTTGCTTCGAAAAAGACAAACAAGCCGTCCCAGATTAAAAACCCGGAAGTGTACGCGAGGTGTACACGTCATTTTCACGTCGTCTTTGAGCTCGCGTCTTCTTTTCTAAATCTGTCTAATTAGTCGCCGAAGGCGAGGTGATTACAAGCCTATATTCACTGAGCCGAATGTTTTAATATAAATTTCCAGGTGTTTACAAACAATAATCCACACAACTTTATAAAAATTCACTTCAAATAAATTTATTTTCGCTATAAATAGTTTGTTTACAAAATTTAAATCTCAGACACGGCTCTGTGTCGCGTTGCGACTAAGCCAGTTTTTTTCCAAATAAAAGCACGTAAAGTTTAATATTTTACCTTGAAATATTTTTAAACCATATTTTGTAGCTTGTTTGTTTTTTTTCGGAATGCTATCTTCTTTAATTTTGGCAATTTCCTCCTCTGTTACTACGGCAAAACGAGCAGCCATTTTGAAAAAAAAGCTATAGTCACTGACCAGTGACTATCACTTCAGAGACAGTGAATCTTGACCAATCAGAATGCAGAAAAATCAATAGTCACCTGGAAATTTATACTAAATATATATATATATATATATATATATATATATATATATATATATATATATATATATATATATATATATATATATATATATATATATATATATATATATATATATAAATATATAAAATTTGATTTCGTTGGTTATAAAAACTTTTGGCAAAGTGCTCAATGGAAAACCAGAGCATATTTAAATTAAGGTACAACAAATCAACAAAATCCACTAGGCATCTTT